GGATTAGTAATGGCAGTTTTGTAAATAAGTATTTTTATTTTTAAAAGGGATATAAACACCCAAAAACATAAGAATTTCACACTCAAGAATCAAATTGTCAACTTTTACAAAACCCCAAACTTTTTCTCTTATTTGTCTCTCTCTCCTTTTTCTTCTTTTACTCCTCCTTTCCCACGCCTCTGTCTCCTCCTCTCCACGCGCCACCAGCGCCACCACCAACCACCGGCGGCCAGCAGCAGCACCGACAGCCCAGCCATGCTCCACCGTCCCTCCTCCCTCTCTCCTCTCTTTCAGTTTGGTATTAAAAGAAAAAAAAAACCTCTTTTCTTAAGCTTGTTTAATTAATTCAAAGCATGATTTTAATGATATTTTGATGTTGTTTTTGGGTAGTTGATGTTGTTAATTTGTTCCTATAATTTTCAGATTTTAATTTGATTAAAAACCCCAATTTACAAACCCTAGAATTTGAGAATTTAATGTTTATGATTAGGGTTTGATCCTAGGTTGTTGTGGTTGTTAAATTAATGATTAGAACAAGTTTTTAATGAGTTTTAAGCCCTTAATTAATGCTGGAATCTAATTATACACATTACTTTTTAATTATTATATTAGGGTTTGATTACCCATAAAAGGAAAAAGGTTATTGATGATTTAAATATGAATTTCTAGTTTATTAGTGATGTTTTATATTAAATTAGTATGCTGGAATTTTATTTAAGTCATGAAAACTAAATCTTTTTGAAAGAGTTTTAAATACCCACTTAAAGAAAAGGTTTTAAGGCTTTTAACCCATTAAATTGCGTTAATTAGTGAGGTTTAAAGTATATTATAGTTGCTGGAAATTTGTGAGAATAGTGAATTAATTATGGTTATGTATTTTTTATTTGTAGGAAGCTTTGAGCTAGGTGATTTCTAGCGAGTGTGGCCGAGTTTAGGCATTATTTAAGGTACGCATGCGCATAGAAATATTTGTGTATGCGTAGTATCATGCTAGGAATGTAAAGTATGTTTTAAGTGATGAATTAGTAGCATGTTTGGTTGATTAAATGCTTGGATTGGATGTTAGTTGATCATAAGTTATTATGCAAGCACGTAAATATGTTATTTGAGGCATGATATAAGTAGAATATGTATGAATCATGGAAGTATGTTTTATTTTCAAGTATCAAGGAGGCATGAATTTAATAAGCAAGGCTTAAGTATGTTTAAAAGAGCTAAGGTTATAATTACTGAGCATGATTCATGATTTTATTTCACACTCACATATATTTGGAGTTGAGTCAAGAAGTTAGTTTATTTATTTACTCACTCATATAAGTTGATATTGAGTCAAGGAAGTTTATTAGTGCATCTTATGCACCAAGGTATGTAGTAATAGTGCAATTTTGTGCACAAAACTAGGCAAGGAACCTTAATTAAAATAAATTTTATTTGCTCACTAATTAATTCAAGAATGAAATGAGAGTGTGTGTTGTTTATTGTTGTGTTTATTCTTGATTGATTGGTTGGAGTCATCATAAGTTAAATTGGTAAATCACGTAAAGTGTAAGAGGATACGTACCAAAACTCTTGGAACGTATACACCTTGAGTATGAACATATGGGAGGTAGTTATGTGACTTTATATTTGATCATAGCTTCTACAGGGGTACAGGACGTTGTACTTTCGTTTATTATTAATGCGCTAGAATTCCGTCACAAGTGTGACATAGTAGGTGCTAATTGGGGTAGCTCCCTAATTGGAAGCTCAATATTTTAATGGAATATTTTTAAGGAAGGAAACCCATTCATGCGTAATCCAAAGCTATTTATTAATAATTAATGTTGTTAGTTATGAGTCAAAGGTAAGTTGACTTGTGAATTATATGGCGAGCATGTTTTATTTATTATTTCTAGGATAATCATGTTAGTGTGGTGCATATGTACTCAGTTTTTGCTGCTTCATACTTTTATGTTTGTGTTTGGCTTTCCTTTGGATTGGCCCTACTATGACCCATTTATATGGTGAGTAAAAAGGTTGAAATAAAGAGAATGTGACAAGTACTTGAAGCGTGAAGAGCATGAAGGGAATGAGTGCAGAGAGTTATATGTTATGATTTCTTAGTTTTATAGTTTGAGTTATTGATTATTATTTTTGGACTAACATTGTTATGTTTTATTTTAAGTTGGTTTTGGATGGGCCATGTTTATATTGGTTCCAACTCGTGAATGTTTTTAATTTTACTTATGTTTTGAGGTTGTGAATTCAAGTTATTTATTTTGAAAAGTTGATTTTTAAGTTAGACTTCCGCTGTGTGAATTTGAAAATAGCCTTAGCCGTTATCACGGTGATGGTAATATTTTGGTTATTTCCTAAAATGAGTTTTATTTAGAGCAAAAAGAGTATTTTAAAATAAGGAAATTTCCATGGTATTACACTATGCAATCAAGTGCAAAAACCCTCCAGCCCCAACCCCAGAGATTAACTTAGGTGGCAGGCCATACTCAACTTATGCTTGGTCAGTTGCTAGGAGGAATAAAAACAGGGAGAGGGCACTTAGACAGGTAAAATGCAATAGCTTCCCTACCCTAATTTTTCATTCTGTTTGAATTCTTTGCATTTTCTGACCAACTAATCCTCTGATTGCAAGAACAAGTCGAGCAAGTGCTTTCCAGTCTTCAAGCCAATAAGTCTGCCCCACTTACTAATAATCCTCAAAGCAGTCAGGCAACATCACATCAAACTGCATCTCAACCTTCATCAAGCACTCAAGGGAAGGGAGTAGGAAAGATAAGAGCTCCTCCAAAGACAAAAGCTCCTCCCAAACCAAAGTTGCTTGTGAAGTCTAAAGCCCAAAAACAAGCTATTTAGAAAGTTTAATTCAACAAGTTGTTGTATTTTAATATTTGACAAACATTTAGTTGATGTTCCACTCTATTCAATTAGAAACTTATATTTTTGGGTCATGTGTTGTCAAACATTAGTTTTATAGATGATTGTGGGTAAGAGCCCCTATTTTTAAGTTTTAATTGTGTTGAAAAACTAATTTGGTGTAGTGAATGAATGAAGAACAACCTTTTGGATCAAAATAAAGCTTGCCTTTTCATTTCATAGTTCATACCATACATAACAAATGCACACCATGTATTCTACCACTATCCATATGTGGTTACAAAACTTATAGCTAAACATGGAGTTAATGTGCATTCTACTATCATTACATAGCCCTAAAACAAACTACATTGCATAATTCTTTACCACATACATAACAACTAATCCAATTGCAACATAAACAAGCTTTTCCCAACCTAACTTATTACCACCAGTCTTCAAATCCATGGCTGCCACCTTGTATTTTCTTGGTTAGTTCTGATTCTACTGCACTAGCCTTGCATTTTGATCTTGGAGTAAGCATACTTCCCGTTTTAAGGTTCCAATTTCACCCTTCAACAATTTCTTCTCCAACACTAATTGATTAGTTATGGCTCTTTGCCACTCAACTCAATCCACTCAAAAAATTTGCATCCAAGTCTTCCCAATTGCAGCATCATAGAACTTACATGCAACAAACCTCCTTCCCGCATTAGTACTTGTCCAGGATGTCACCATTTTTGGAGGAATCCCACAATAGCATTTGCTTGGGTATGGTTGAGCTAAATGAAAAGAAGAGTTTGACATGCTGCAATTGAGAAATTATGACTTAATTCAGAACCCAATAATAGTTAATTCGTAACCCTAACTGAACCAATTACAATAAAAATCAACAAATTCCCCCAATTTCGAAAAACCCCAATTTGTAAGAACCCTAATTTTGCAAATTATTAAACCCTAGAATCAAAATTCATAATTAATAAAATAAAAAAGTAGTACATACCTGTGAATTGGAGTGCAAGTTGTTTTCACTTCTTCAATTAGGGATTTTCACAGAGAATTGATTTTTTTGGTTGCATTTTTGGGAAACAAGGGAGGTTGGGTGTATATATACGAGGCTCACCTTTTTTCTGGAGGGAAATGAAAAAGTGGGCCCCAGACGCCAGAGTTAGTTTTGGAAATGGGTAATGCTACCCTAACTTTATAAATTTAGGGGGTAGTTGTTTTGATAAAAAAAATTTAGCGAGTAGTTGTTCACAATTTCACCTGTTTAGTGTTTAGCGTATAGTTCCTGACAATCTTTCCATTTCAAAATCGATCTTCACAACCATATATCCCACCTTTCCTTGCTTTTTTTTCTCATTGTATGCAACATTTCTTGAACAATAATGACATTATCAATTTGATGCCGAGGCACAAAACTACATTGAGTCGGAGAAATTAAACTCGGAAGCACAGGCTTAATTAAGTCTATTCACAATCACTGTAGTCATAATTTTGTAAATGATATTACATAAGCCAATAAGACGATAGTGATTAGCTCTTTGCGGGATGTCAACCTTGGGAATTAGCACTAGGAACGCATTATTTAAGCCCTTGGAAACTCCCTGCCTTCTAAAATGTCTTTAATTGTCTGAATCACCACATGGCTAACTGTATCCCAATATTTCTGGTAGAATAACGACTGGAAGCCATCTAACCCCGGGGCCTTAAATGGCTTCATACTCATCAAAGAAGCTATGACTTCACAACCTGTAAAAGGTCTCGATAATTTGCTCCACTTCTCTGCATTCAGTGACAGAAAATAGTCTTCCAACAGCCTATGATCCCACCCAATTATTTTCCTTTGTAAACAAATGCATCCAATCACGGACCATCTTTTGCACCCTTGACAGCTCACACACCCAATTGCCCTTTGCAACTTAGAGAGATTCAATCCGATTGCGCCTTCTTCTAATTATTGTAGAAAGATGAAAAATAATTGTATTTCTATCACCACCGCAAATCGACTCTTGTCTTGATTTTTGGAACCAAAAAACTTCCTCCTGGTTGAGCACTTTTTCCATCTCTTTTATCAACTGAGTCTCAAGTTTCAATAGATGTTTCGAACCACCACTTGCTACCTTTACCTGTATACCTTCCAAGCATGCTCATAATTCAGATTTTTTGCGAAAGATATTATAAAATATCTCTCTATTCCATCTAAACATAGTTTCCGCAAACTCCTTTAAAAACGAGATTAGAGGTTGCGCATTATTCCAGTTTTTATGCACAAAATCATCAAAATTAGCATGATTAATCCACATTGCCTGGAAACGAAAGGGCTTACAAGCTGTCAGGATATGGGCGAAACCATTAGTGCTAATCAATATCAGGCAATGGTTCGATTTAACTCGAGGCAAATTTCGAACAACTCCTTCATCAAACTTCAAACGCCATTCTTCATTTGCAAAACCTCTATCAAGCTTGGCAGATTTGTAAGTATTAGGGGAATTTCCTCTTGCCCAAGAATGTTCTGTTCCCAAACACCCCAAATCAATCCATCTATTCTCCACCCAATTTGAAAAATCAGAGCATCGGCGCTGCATCTCTGATCCCCAAATACCACATCTCTCTTACATAGAAACAGTATCATTAAAATCCCCCGCCATCAACCACAGGCCTTGGTATCTCTTGCTAATATCCTCCAATTCTTTCCACAATCTCTTGCGAGTCGATGTATCTGGGCTAGCATAAATCGCGGAGAACATCCATGGATCCTCTCCACGTTTCTTAACTTCCATCGTTACATGTTGCGTGTTGATATCATAATGAGAAATCTTCACCTCCTCCTATTTCCAAAAGAGCCAAATGCCACCACTAAAGCCATGTGCTTCTACTCGAAGTTGACCCGAAAATCTAATTTTGTCACAAATTTCCTTAGCTTTATCCCCACTTAAATGGGTCTCCACAAGAACTAGAACTGAAGGCTTATTAATTCGGACAAGCTCCTTAATAATGCCCACCTTTTTACTCACACCTTGAACACTCTAGATTAATAATTTAATAGATATATTAAACATAGGGAACAAAGGGTAGCAATCATACACATAACACATCCATAGGGATGCTAGGAAGAAGGCTTAAGAATGCCTCCCTTAGGGCGTCCATCGGCCCTCTTATCCTCATCGAAATTTGGAAGTTCGCCAACATGCATGGGGGAACGTGTTCCGGTGAGATATATGTACTCACTTAAAATTGTACCTGATTGGCTAAGGGGTGAACTTTCACCGTCGTTGGCCCCTCTGCTTGGTAATCTATGAATACCTCGTAATCCTAAGGGATGCACACCTCGAGATTAATTGGGACATTACCGGGATTCATCTCTGAGATCCGAGGGATCAAAATCAACGGAAGGAGAGATTGATTTGCGTGCTAGAACCGAAGGAGTAGACGACACAATCACAACATTTTCCTTGCCTAGGGTAGGAAACAAGTTTTGCTTCTACTTAAAAATGTGTTTGGATAGATTAGGGGGGAGAAAAAGAAGGGGAAGGAGGAGAAGGGGTGGGAAGGGAAGGGGAGGGGAGGGAAGAATGAAGAGTTTTCCTTCCAAATCTCTCCATTGTTGGACATATCAATTTCTTGCAATTTGATCCCTCCATTTCTTTTCCCTCCAATTCTCTTCCTTCCTCATTTGTTATTCAATGAAAGATTATCTATCCCTCAATTTCTCTTCCCTTCCTTTCCCTCCATTTCCTTCAATCCAAACAAAGTGTAAAAGCTTCCTTACTTGAGGAAATTCTAGCATAACTATTTATGGAAGTAGATAAATTCAAAGGGGATTTTCTTTGAAATCCACCTAATAAATTCCCCTGTTTAGCACCAGATTGCATAGAATCTTCTTACTTTATATCATATTTTAAACTTCCATAAGATTAAATCTCATTTTCCTTGAAAATTATCTTATTTTCTTTTTCCAATGAGCTACCCAAATCAATTTCTTGATCAATATCAATCGAACCACCCGACCACTGGAGGTCACAACCTTCAAAGAATTCCCCATAGAACCTACTCCGCTATCCTGCCCTAAGCTCATAGCATCACCCATCAAAATATCCTCATCGACACTACCTCAGCCCCTGGAGCTGTATTATTTTTTTCAAAGACCGCCTCCTATTCAGTTATATCTTCTACTTCCATAGCCTTTTCCTAGTTAAGGACAACCTCGAACCTCTGTTAACCTTTTCATTCTAATTACTAGCATTCCCCTCGATAACTTTATTCTAGTTCACTCCTTTCTTAATATTAGCACCCTTAACCACTTCATCTTGGTTGTGACTATTAACTCCTTTATTCTTTAGTACATACTTACTGGAATTTCTTTGCACGAGCATCCACGCCCCATATTTATCTTTTTTCTCTGGTTTAATATTTTCAATTTTACTCTACTCACCATTCTTGTGAGCCTCCGTCCCCTACCTTCTCCCGAACTACTAGTTTACCATCTTCAGCTTGAGTCATACCACAAGCTTCTTCCTTATGTCCAAGTTTGCCACACTTAAAACATATCTGGCGAAGTCCCTCATATTGAATTTTCCACACTCTGCCATTCAACCTAAACTTTGACAGGAAAGGTTTTGTCAAGTCCAACTCCACACTCAGCCTTACATACTGCCCATCGAAGCAGTATTTCTATCAAACTTCACCACTTTTCTAATCAGGGAACCTATCTTAGCAAGAACTTCTTATCAAAGTATTCCACTAAGAGTTGAGGAATCCTCACCCAAGCTGTCAAAGTTTTAATTGGCTCCTCATCTAGAAAAAAGTTTGGGATTCATTTACGAATAGTTAGGTAGCTATCACCAATCATCCATGGTCCTTAAGTAAGTCGTACGCCTCCATATTGTTAAACCTTACCACATAGTATGTGCATCCTCCATCTATAAGGGCTATATCTCTCTTCAAAGACCATTTCTGTCTCAATCTACGCACAAAAAAACTTCATAACTCATTCTTTTATCAAACAATTTGATAATTAGGGAATTTCTCCATGGAGCTCTAAGCCTCATCTTCTCTTCTTTGGTCAACAAAATTTTTGGGCACGACTCATCATCTGAATCACACTTCGATTGTAAATCATCATCGAAAACCTCATCCTCCACTCTTACCTCTTCCTCATACAGTGGATTCATTCTATGTTTTGGGCCTTTTGTTGCTTAACTGTACGAGACAGGTTGTTGTTGATTTTTTGCAATTTGGGAATCCTCCACCAATGTTTCCATTACAACATCCTCTTGTTCTCTCAACTGAGCATTTCCTTCACCATCATCCATTTCATTCGCATTTCTTTTAATCTTCTTATTCGATCTTCTAACCTGATCATCCTCTTCAGGGGATAGGCCATTTTCTCGTTATTCGATATTGCTGCTTGGATAGAGTATTTCCTAGGGTTTTCTTAGAATTTATTCTTTGAATATAGAGAATAACAACTTTGAAATTAAGGGATTAATCTTCATTTGCTAGTAAAATAAACATTATGTCCAACCATTTAAGAATAAATTTTTAGTTATTTTACTCTTATTGGTGAACAAAAACGTTTGTGTACACCCAATAAAATTAGTGAAAAAAATATATATATTCAACCATTTAAGCACATTATAATATTAGTGTAAATCAAATAGTTTGTATTATTTTTAACCAACTTCGGAGACAATTTTTATTAGCCTAATTCATAGATTGTATTATTTTCCGCATACAAACACGTATTTTGGATTTTGTATTTGAAAAATTGACAGGAATATTATGACCTTTGCTCCGTTCGCTCAAAATAAAACGACCTTGAAATTCCCCCAATAAAATGACCTTTTACCCTTATCTTCTTAAAATAGGACATCTTCAAGTGGTAACCGGATGTTGTAGGTAGAATGCTTACGTGGCAATGACCGTTGGGTTTTATTTGAATTTTAAATACTTCCCCTTTATTTCACTCATCTCTCTCTCGTTTTTCTCCCATGTTCCCCTCTTCAGCTCTATAATACTCTAATTATTTTTTTTTAATTTGTGCTCCCCTTTTATTTATCATTTTTTTTCCTAGTCTCATGTCTTCAAGAAGGCAATCTTCTAATGCACCTGGGTTATCTTCAAACTCAAGAAGGGATACTCATCCAAAAATTCGATGCAAGTGCGAGAAAGATGTTGTGGTTAGAATAGTGATACAAGGGCCTAATTTGGGGTGCAATATCTATGGATGTCCCTTGTGGCCAGTAAGTTTGTATGTTTTGCGTAATTGAAGTTAATTTGTATGGATTGTAGCTATCTAATGAAGTTTTTGTTGTTTGTAGGACACCCATTGCGATTTGTTCAAGTGGTTTAATGACAACAATGAGGTTGAAGACTGCCAAATGAAGATGTTAGAGAAAGACACAATTATCTTGGAATTGGAGTATGAGCAAAAGATATGAGAAGACAAAATAAAGAAACTTCAATTGAAGAAGGAGAATTAGGAGGAAGATGTACAAGAGATGAAGAGTGAAATATTATGTATCCGGATTGAGTTAATGAAGGCTTAATGAAAAAAAATTGGTTATAGTGCTAGTATTTTTATGGATCTTCTTTGTTGCAACACTCTTGTCTGTCAAGTACTTGATGTTATGAACAAGTTGTAATATGTTATTAATGTAGTAATTATGGGTTGTGTTTGAAGAATACATTGTTTTTTTCTTTCACTTTTAATGAATGACATGCATGATTTCATTATCTATTGTATACCAAACAAGATAATTATGTAATTAGCAACAAGAAGTACATGTCATCTATAAATATTGTTCAGTGAGTACCAATTGTTTGGACTAGGTACACATGATTAGATAATGAAAAAGACTTGTCCACCCACAAATTATCTTACCCAAAACATAAACATAAACATAATTAATTCATTACAGATAGATGCTGCAAGTATTAACAAAAAAAAAGGCCCTGCTGTTCATAACACAGGTCACACTATAGCAAATCAGGTTTGATGAGTATCAAGAGTGGAAGTTTGGCTTGACTGAGTTCCAATGCAGAGGCTTGTAGTACCCTGCAGCAATGGAGTTTCATTTGAGCTAAAAACCACTCCAACTCCAACAGGAACCTGTACACAAAAGTGAATGGTTAATTTTCAAATAAAACACATCCAAACAGGATTAGACAATGCTTTTGGAAGATATAACTTAGACCTCCCTCTGCCTCTCCCTCTTCCTCTACTAGCTGTAGTTGCACCCCTTCTTGCCCCTCTCCCTGCACCTTATCCTGCTGTTGCTATACCCCTCCCTGAACCTGTCCCTGATGCAGTTGCACCCCTCCCTCTTCCTCTACTTGCTGCACTAGTACTTGAGGTAGTTGCTCTGACAGTGGCTTGGCTGACAGCTCTTGCACCCTGCCCACCTAGAATGAGCTTCCCACCTCTACCAAGTTGAGAAGGTTGTGCTATGGTTGTGTGATGTTGTGCTGATGGTTGTGCAATGGATGAGGGAGCCATATATGATGCAGGCATGTTCTAAGAACCAATTGCATCATTTCTTGGCCTTCCTCTCCCCCTTTTTGGAGCAGGTTTTAGAGGCACATAAGACCCTTTATCTGGACATCTCCTTTTATTATGTCCTTTCACTTGACAAATTGAGCATGTCATTTCAATCCCACTTCTCTGTAAAGAACCAGGTTTCTTTGGGTTTTCCTCAAGGTGCTTAATCTTATCTTTCGTGGTCTCCCTGGACCAATCTTGATTGAGGGTTGGTCTAGGTTACAGGGTACCTTTGGCCAGTACCTTTCACCTTCACAAGGTGGAATAGAACCACCATATGCTAGGAAATAGGTCTCAACTTTATAGCACTGATCAACATAAGCTTCTGGCTCTTTGTTCAGATAAAATATACAGGCTATGGCAAGACAACAAGGAATACCTACCATATTCCACTTCCTACAGCTACAGGACCTACTGTCTAAGTTAACAATCAGTTAGTCCAAGTTATGTCTGACATTGAATAGAATGTCAGAAGAAGGGAGGACATCACAATAGGTAACCTTTGCCTTATCTTTCTCTAACTTTGCTTGGATTCTAGGGAAAAGAACAGAAGTACATTTTCCCATTTCCTTTTTTTTTGTTCACCAATCTCTGCATAAGGACAACCCTAATATCTTCTAGCATATGAATTAAGTGCTTTGTTCTATCATTAATTATGTATGCATTGAAGGTTTCACCCATATTATTAGTTATGGCATCAGTTTTCACAGAGGTGGACATGAAAGCTCTACAAAAGCAGTTAGGGTTATACCTCCTGAATGCAAGTGCAGCCTCAGGGTTTAATTCATTCAACTCATCCAAAGCTTCATTGTACTGTGCATAATTGTAGCACTTAGCAATCTTTCAAAATTGAAGCTTCATCTCATCACCCTTGTATGTTATGTGCCAGAAGGCAAAGATATGCCTTGCACAGTGTCTACGCTCTACTTTTGGGAGCACAACAGCAACTGCATGAAGTATTTCCTGAGAAAAAAAGACACACAGTAGCATATGGTTAAATAAGATGTCAATTATGTGCAAAAAAATAGCATGACAATAGATTATGGAACTCTTATTGACCTTGTGTTCATCAGAAAGTACAACAAAATCAGCTCCTTCTCCTAATTCCAGACAAGATTACAGATGGGTGAAGAACCAAACCCAAGACAAGTTGTTCTCTCCTTCAACTGCAGCCCATGAAATAGGGTACATTTGATTATTAGGATCTCTACCCACTGCTGTCATTATTTGGCCCCCAAGAAATGTCTTCAAGAAAGCTGTATCAACACAAATGACTCTTCTACAACCTGCCTTCCATTCCTCTTTCACTCCATCAAAGCACACAAACATTCTCTTGAAAACTGGGACTAAGTAATTTGGACTTGCATCTACCATCATATCCAAGGTTGTGTTAGGACTTGCAATCTTCAGAGCTTGTACATATCTCTCAATCTTCATGTAATGGTCCTTTATACTTCCATGAAGCAACTTATGGGCATGGTATTTAACCTTGTATGCAAAGTCTCTCTTGATGATTACTCTATAGGCTCTTCTAACTGTTTCTATGATTTCCTTTACTGGCCAATGTGGCCTTTCTTTGAAGACTTCCAGCTGCTGCCTAGCAAGCCATGTGCTTTTCAATTGCCTGTTTCTATTCATACTTCTATGGCATGTATGAGAGTCCACCACTGTCTTCACCAACCAGGTTTTGTCTCTTGTGTGCATTAAGCAATACAGATAAAAACGGCACTCTCCAACACACTTCACACCCAATTAATCTTTCTTCTTATTACTTATCACATACCTCACATCCCTACCTTGCATCACTGCATATTTGCTAACAACTTCTCTAAACTCAGATCTGTTGGCAAACCTCTGCCCTACTTTCCAAACAAATGAGGAAAAGTCAGTATCACCTCTAACTAACACACCCTTCTTCACTCTACCACTTCCTTATGCTTCATCTCCACTCTAAATTGGTGAGTGAGCCTCCTCATCACTGTCCTCATAGTCACTTGCCTGACCTACTTCTGCAGCTGTGGCAACTACAGTGGGTGGTTTTTTATGTTTTGTTTGCAACCCTAACCTCCCTTCACTAGCTTCCTTCTGAAGTTGTTGAGCTATCTCAATACACTTATGGTTCACTGTCTTCACCCTCTCTCTTGCTCCCTAAATCCTCATCACTTTCATCAGACTTATTAACAATGAAATCAGTCCCTTCAGCTTGTTCACTCACCTCATTTGCTTCAGTTTCAATATCTACATCACTTAATCTGCCATCATTCTCCCCCGCTGGTTCTCCCCCCACATCTACATCCTCATCTCCTTCAAACTCTGGCTCATATTCAGGATCACTGTTATCACTATAATCACTGTAACCTATAACCTCACTCCATCTCAAAGGACTGTCACCCCTGTTATCCTCCAGTCATACTCCTCATTTACAACAGTTTCTGTGTTAGGCAAAGAAGTGGTTTTTTCAGGCACGGAGGTGGTTTTGGAATGGGGAGCTCACTTGGTTTGACAAGCAGATCAGGTTTTAAGGGTTTAAGTGTGGTAGTTACATCTGTCAAAGAGGATGAGGGAATCCTATAAGTGCTTGTTTTGACCTTGGTAGTTGTGGTAGTTGGGTCACTTAAAGCAACTTGTGCTGATGTGGAAGCATTATTTGCACTTGATGTGGAGGCTTGTTTTTGTTTTATTCTAGGACTTTTCCTAATGGCTTGCATGATTTTTGTGGGTGGTCCCTTTCTTGGGTCATTTTTTTCTAACATTACTTTTTGGTTTATTGACTGGTTGAGTTTCTGATTGTGTGAGGTCTTCAATGTGTGATGTGTTCTCAACATGTTGGAGGTCAATCTGAGGTGATTTTCAACACCTTTATCAAGCACTACTTCTTCCCTCCCTTCACTCTCAGAATCAGCATCTTTACATGTCAAAATAGGGCCCTCCTCATGATGCAATAAGTAAATTTCAAGAGCCCTCAATTTTTTAGTTAACTCTATCAACTCCAACACTTTTGTATACCCTCTATTCTCCTAATACCATCTTGCAGACTCATTCCTAAGATTAGATAAAACATCCCAACCACACACGCATACCCACACTTCTCTGCAAATTCAAGTAACTCCCAATAATATAGTATATTAGGGTCCACAAATAAATTCCTACCCATACCACCATAGTAAACCAACTCCCCATTTCCAACAATTTTGAATTTTCCCCCATGCCAGAACTGAATGGTAAAATTATCAAAAAAGGTAGACATGTTACCTACATATCAAACACATAATTGCAAACAATCAACACCTAAAAATCAACCGCAATTATCACATCTATCCATCTAATCAACCAAAACAATTCACATAATCACAAACAATCAACCCCTAAAAAATCACAATCAATCTACCCTAACTTCACTTCGCGTAATTGCTCAATTAACAAGTAAATCAATTCAACTAAAGCTACTAAATTTAGCATCAAATTAACCTAATCTCACCATAACACAGCAATCTTGCACGCAAATTACTATAGTTATCGCAATTACACATGCGCAAATCAGAGAAATTAAAGCAAAATTTAAGCTCAATTACATACCTTCACAATCCCAATTCCAGAAATTTCATGAGAAATGAACCTTGCACCGTCTTCCAAACCACCCACTTCAGTCCTTTTGACTTTCACTCAGGTGAGAGGCGAAGTTTAATGAGCTAGCTAAAGCTGTTGAGCGTCTTTAATGGAGTTTGCAGAGAGGACGAAATAAGGACAGAGAGAAATTGAATGTAACAGAGGGTGGGCTTTGGATAATTGGGTAATAATTTCCACGTAGGCTACTTTAGCAGGTAAAACTAGGGTCAAGCCTTACCATTGACCAGTAGATCAAGTTTTAGCTGGTTATCAGTAAAATTTCCTATTTTAAGAAAATAAGGGTAAAAGGTCGTTTTATTGGAGGAATTTCAAAAGGTCGTTTTATTTTGGGCGGACGTAGCGAAGGTCATAATATTCCTGTCAATTTTTCCTTTTATTTTTTCACCAATTTTCCTTTTTGATTTTTTAATCTTTTGTTCACCGACAAACAGTCAACTTAATTGTACAAGTATTTTTTTTTGAGGACACAACTTAATTGTATTTGTAAGGGGTAATCGTTGCATGAATATCAAGGTAGTAGAAGCAGATTAAATAAAATGCAATTACATATACTACAAAACCTTTAATACATACATAATTCCTCGTTACAACAAACAGTAGCCTCAAAATTGGCAAACCTATCTATAGATACACCCAAGTGACCTGATAAACAGCTAACCCAAAACTTGAAACCTATTTATAAAACCAAACCACTTTTTAAATATATACCCCCTACCCTTTTGTGGGAGTGTGACACAAAAATCAATTCACCAGAATTTGCACACTTTGTCCATAGAGCATATGGACATGTAAAATTCAAAGAATAACCCCGTCACCCAAATAGGATGTGACCGACGGCAAAAGAATTAATAGACCCTCCGTGTGTAGGGCAAACCCATGGATGCCCTTCCAACTTATAAAGAATCAGGTGAGTGCTGATGAATATGAAGTATATATATACATGCACAAGATTTGACATGCCAAATAAATGCATGAAAGTCGAGGCCCTAGGCCATGAGGATTGTGATGGAATACTTGTCGTGGTAATACCCATTCTATCTCACTCTGAATTTTGAATCAAGAATTGAAAACCTGAGTGTTCTCTCAGTAGTTGTGGAGGATCTATATCACCTGATCCTGGCTGTTGTTGCAACGAGCTTGAGATGTCGTCCAGAGAGAACGGGATGCTGCATGATTGGAGGAAGCCAATGAGTTAAAGATTTTATTTACAGTTTTGAAAGGAAAGAAGGTGACTTATAATTGAAGTTAGTAAACTTCACCTTGAGTCATCATCCAGTAAGAATGAATTTGTCACAGCACTATTGGCATCTTCAGTCATCTGTACTCTCATACTTGAAATAACCTGTGTTGCTTAGAATGTTACAGGATTCTTATGTTTATATGGTCTTAATGAATGCTAATGTATACATGAAAATAACCGCTGACTATCGAACCGTTTGACTGAACTGAACTGAACTGCAGAAACTAAAAGAAATGTGACTTACATCAGAAGATACAGTATGAGTTCCATATTTGTCATCCCAGTACATAGTGCTGATTCTATATAATTGCTGTATGCTGAGCGACTGCAAAACATACCAGGAGATCAATAATAAAAATGGATAATAATTAGGTAAAGGACTCAAGGTAGAAAACTGTTGGAAGATAGAAGAAGCGAACACGTACTGGACATAGATCTTTTGTAATCTCATTTAAGGTTTTCTTGGGCTTCTGATGGATGACCTGGATGTGACAACATTGCAAAGTCAATTACATCAGAAGGTGGTCACAGAAAATTATATCAGCATAACAAGCAAAGACTACAAACTTACAAGAAATCCGACCGCTTGTCTAATATGCTTCAATTCATCCCAAGCTGAGCCAGCATACTGTTGAAAGATAATTTTGTCAACAAATGAAACTATATGTTTGATAGCAGGAGAAAGAGAAAGCAACAACACTAAAACTTACTTCCTCAGTTGCATCATAGCACCATTGCTCCAATTCGGCCAAACCTGCTTTTACATACTCGCCATTACTGAAGGAGCAGCATTCACGTCGCAGCAGAAGACTGGTAAATTTAATCAATAATAGTTAATGAAAGGTTGTAAGGACTTCCTCAGACATAATTCAAGAGTAAACACAGAAATGAACCTGTTGAATAGCTGGACATTGATAAAAGAGAATATTTGGGAGAAAACTTTCCGCACTAAGAAAGGAGGGATCTGTAAATATCAAGGTATTAGAAAATCCTAAGATTTGAAGTTCGATAAACAAATGAAAAGGTAGTAGATGTTAATTTCGTCACGCACATTGTTTGCTCTCATCATTGTTAAGTAATTGTTTAAACTTTTTACAATGCTTTGCCAGTGTGCTATCAAAGCTTGTTGAGCAACAGCATTAGCATGAGTACGACCCTTCATCAAACCAGCTCGTGATGTCCGAGGTGCCTGCAAGTTGTCACAAAAGAAAAAGTCACGAATAGATCGCCAATGGCAATTAACCAAAGGATTCCAATGACATAGGATTAAGAAACATCATGAAATACATTTGAGACCGGAGATGATGAAAAATACTAAATCAATCATTTCAAAGTTGACACTCCCTCTATTTTATTTATTTACTCCCTCCGTGTTTAAATAAATGAAACGTTTTGACTTTCACGGAGTTTTAGGAAGGTTAGTTAAATTTATTAAAATAATAGGTAGTGGGGTATAAGTTGAGGAGAGAGAAGAGAGAGTAAGGGGTTTCGTGGGGACCATTAGTCAGTAGAATGTTTTTAAAAAGTAGAGAGAATATTATTAAAAAATAGAGAGAAGTTACTAAAAAAGAAAACGTTTCATTTATTTAAACACAACCAAAAAAGAAAAACGTTTCATTTATTTAAACACGGAAGGAGTAGTTTATTTTATGATGCCACTCACTTACTATTACTTGATTCACCTTTTTCTTGCATCTTTTTACTCCCCTCTTTGTCATCCCTTTTTTCTTTTACATCTACTCATCTTTTTCAAACACGCCTAAAATGAAGAGTCTATGATAAATGAGGAAAAACAAAAGATAAAACCAAGGGAGTATGGCATCAAACATCCAAGAAAGAAAAGAATACTAAATCATATAGTTAAAACTCAATTACTATATTCCCTAGTCACCACAGCCCAAAAACAAAATTCCTCGTAAGTACTTTGGATTTACAAAGCTCCACTTTCTTCGCAAAGGTAATAAATTGTGTTAATCGTACTTTTATTCAACAAGAATATGAAATATAAGTAAATTGTGTTATGTCACATAAACATTTGTGTTTGTGCCAGAAGTGAAGAAGAACCCTATTATGAGTCAAAGGGAATGATAGATTTAACCTATTTAAAGGCTTCTTTTGCTGATTATAATGCACGTTGGACGTTGCTCTATTAGAATTCAACTAGTGTGCACCAATATCTGGCGAAAACTATATATGGAGTGATTTGATTTCTTTTCTTTACTGCCACTTTTTAGTATAGTATTTATATTACTTATTTTAGTATAATATTAATATTACTTATTTTTCTCAAAAATCCAATTCATCTTACAAAATGCTGTATTTATATGCTTTTTTCAATTTTTACACTCTATTAGTCTTATTGTTGTTTACTTGTCTATTCTGTTATTGTAATAAAAAGGTGTAGTAGTCTTTTTGCTTTCTTCTTTTTCTAGGTTTGAAAACTTGTTAAACTAAGAGCAACAACTTTGAATGACCAAGGAGAAAGAGAGAGAGGAGGGAGGGAGGAGGGGGGGGGGGATCATGTTGGTGAGAAAGATATTTGCTACAAAATAATAGTTTAATTACGGTGAAAATTAGTTCTTGCTTATAATTACCTGGATACATAACCCTAGCAATGGAGAGATCTCTTTCTTTAGATTATCTCTTATCATGCCATATATCTTCTCAAGGAAGGCAGTAAGCTGCTGTTTGAACAGCAAAGCAGGATATTTGGCCTCAACTTGGCGAACATCATCTGATTTACTGAGGCGACCATTAAGAAAAGATAGGCCAGGGCTTTGGGGAGATGCTCTCAGCTGCAAAGCAAATTTAAATAGACATTAGTAACAGAACCAAAAAGTACGAGCTTCTCCACAAAAATAAGAAAGTAATTCCTGGTTAAAGATTTTCATTCTTACTGATGACATTCTTCCAAAGAGAGAAGTTGACATTGTCCTGCGTCTCTGTGGAGTAAAACCAGCTGCCCCAGTGGCTTTAAGTGTTTGTTGGAGTAGCAACAACAACGTGGATGTATTAGATAACCAGTAAGCCAACATGTCATTGTTTTCCTGGACCTTGAATAAGATGAGATCAGGCATCAGAGATGCAATTTCATTTTTTGAATCAATGGAAGTCAACAAGCCTAACGGCACATATAATCAATCTCAGAAAAAAAAACATATTCAGTCAAAAAGGTGACTGCATACCTCTATTGCCAAACCTATACTTTGTATAATGCGATCAAAAATATTGGTTCTTTCAACTTCAAAGGATCTCCATTGTAGAAGACATTTGTAAATGACACAAGCAGCAATTGGTTTGCCCTTAGAAAATCCAAGATTCTCTGATATGCACTTGATCAATAAATCTTGATACTCCTGAAAAACGAGAAAATACATTGTGCACATTGTATGAGATTAACAGCAGATTATGACTAAAACAACTCTATAAAATGGACTTCAGAGTTATATCATGCATAAAAGCTAGTTGCAGACCTGCTGCTTATCATTAAGAGAATTTTGTGGTTTATCCTCGGGTGAATCTTCAGCAATGGATGTGACCTGGAGATAAAAAAAAAAATCCAATATAAGAGTTAACACAAATTCTATGCCACAATCTTAATTAGGCGAAAGAATATCTGAAAAAGAAATGCATAAATTACCGGCGAATGTAACAAGGCTTTAGCGTCACCATTTTGCACATGTCCATTCTCTGGAGTCCTCTGTGATTTGGCAAGAAAATGTCAGCACTTAATCAACATACAAAAACTCTGACACCGATAAGCAGACTAACTAAAGGCTAAAGGGGAAAAGAGAAGCTTTAGACGCACCTGAACAACCATTGTCTTTGAACGAACCGGAGCTGATTTGGCTATAGGTGTCATCGTCAAGGCTTGCTGTCGAAGTCCTTGCAGTTCTGACTCTGCCTTCTTAAGTTTTTCTGCCATCTCCTGAATTTCTGACTCCGCACTCGAGAGTTTTTGAGTCATCTCCAGTCCTTGCTGGCGTAGTATTTGAGATTCTGATTCGGCATTAGAAAGTTTCTCCTCCATCCTGATAACAAAGATATATTATTTAATTAAAATGAGCTAACTTACTACACTTTTGGTTCATGTAGCCGACCCCACTTATGGGATTAAGGCTTTGATTGATTGATTGATCTAACTTACTAATGAACCAATAAAAGATGAGTGTTCAAAAGACAAGAGTGTGCAAGTTTAACGACTTAACTTATGGCACACAAGAGAAGCTAAATATTCTATGGAGCAAGTAAAAACAAGAAGCATAGTCGGTTTTTGATGGGAAAAAAACACTTCTGAAGATTAAATTGAACATGGATAGCATTGTTTAATGTCACTATATTATCGATTATACCAGTGTAAATCTGAGAACAATTGCAAGCAGGCACAAACCTTTGAACAAAATCTTTAAGTTGATATATGGTGTCATCTGAACCTTCCAGTTTTTTAAGAAGTTCTGTATTCCTTTCCTCGGTGTCCAAACAAGCCTTCCTGGATACTTCTGCAGCCTCCTTTTCTTTTTCTAGTAATGTCTGCATCATTTAAGCAACACCATAAAACCAGCCAGTTATACATAATTAGGCAGATGTTATTTTACAATTAATACTCCACCAAGTACAGAAAACTTCAGTCAAATAATTAAGTGTCCACATAAATAAGTGTTAGCAGTTGTGTCATGAAGGTATTACCATTATTAATTATCAAATTCAGATATCAACAAGGAGTGACAAGCTCCTAAATTCATCAGATGACAGAGGAATAAATAAAGGATTCGACATCTAGCTACATAGTTTCTTTCAAAAGCTATCTTAAGGAAAAGATTCAAATCATAGCCACTAACAGGAACTCTGTATCTGAGTGTATCAGAGATTATATTGATCAACTCATAAAGATAATTTTTTTTCTTTGTGGAGATTATATCAATCAACTTATTGTATATAGAAGATTGTTAGCAAAGATTCATTACCACACTCTAAACTCCCGACGTATTAAATGATGAAAGAAACAATCCAAAGTCTAAAAATTTGAGGAGGGAAACTTAAAATTATAGGTTTAGTGTGAATAGAAGGATGGAACATACGGCCCAAGCAACTGTAACCTCAAAGGCTAGCATGATTATTTATGTATCTTCACCTGATCTATATTTAGATTAGAAACCTTCAATGAGAAGCTAATTTGTTAAAGCAGGCAGTTTCAGTAATCTACCGTCAAAAACAACCAAGGAGCACAAGAGAGTATAGGAAATAAAGGTGTTTACCTTTAGATTCTCTACTTCAACAGTTAAGGACTCAACCTTCTCTGTATCTTGAACCATAACTGGAACCTCTTTGATGACTGGAGGAGCATCTTCAACAGCTTTCTTAGCTGCCTCTCGTTCTTTAATTACACGTGCATTTGCTTCATCAATCTGTATTTGCATAGCTTTCAAAGCTTCCTGAAGCTTGGCAATCTCTTGACCTTTCTCCTCCTCCAAGTTTTTCTGTTCAGAGTCAAAAACTTGATTACACTAGGAATCTACGATACATGTATAGCACAATCATACTGCATATTGTAATAAAAATAATTAGAGCCCAAATTAGGGCAAAAGATTACCCTTAATTGACCCTCAAATTGCAAACGCCATGTAAGCTCTTCCACACGCTTCTCTAGCTTGTCTTTCAATTCTTTGAGAGCACCAGTTTCTCTTGCAGCCTAAGACCAAGAGAGGCATTAATAATGTGAATCTGGCAAGTCGCCCCAAAATTTTAAAAAAAATGCAATAACATTGAAGCAAGTTGATAGTCAAACCATCTTGAGCTTTCTGAGTTCTCTCCTAGCAACTCTCCGCCTCCAACCACACTGAGTAACAAGAACAGCCTTTTGAAGGCTCTTGTAATAAGAATATGCCATGTGACTACGCAAGCGAGTCTGAAAATAGAAAAGAGTACAATATATAATCAACTGATCAAGCTAAATTGTTATGCATGGTGGAACTTAGATCCATGCTGAGAAGAGATGAGGATAGTATAGAAGAGGACCTGAATAATGATGGCAGCCTTCGTTTCTTTTTTGTATCTGAATATATTCCGAGCATGCATTGCCCTTAATCCAGTCTGTATTTTAACAGCAGACAACCTTGATATCAAAAAGGATTTCCTAGCTTTGTAACAGCGGAAGTTCTTCTGAATCCTAATGGCTGCTGCTTGTCTGCGTAATTCTGCATGAACCTTACAGGCAAGAACACCTGAAAGATCAAGGAGAATAAAAGTGATCAAGTAGCACATAATGGTATAAACTTGATAGGATAAGACAAACCATTTCAACTAATAAAAATAAGCAGAGAAAGATAACAATGAAATGTCATCTAAGAGATCCTTGACCAAATCACAGCATTGCTGAGCCATATACATGAAATAACCCATTATTTTACACAGATCTATCTGAATTTCTATTTCTAAGCATACATCACCTAAACCTTTGTATCTCAATGTAAGATGCAATTTCATCTAAAAACCAGTTTAATTATCATCAAATTTTACTGATATGATTTGCAAACAATTTGCAAAATACACTAAAGGCAAGTCAGCTTCCAAAAGAGTTCCAAGAACCCAAATTAAGATATATTCACCAGCTGTTAAAATGAAAGGGAAATATGTCACTTCGTCCTCTGCACCACAAGTTTCACATAGGCCCATTGACCTCTGTTATGGAGAACTCAAATTCACTACATATACATGCTTATTGAGAATTCAAAACTAGTGGAATTCCTCATGTTTTATACATCATGTCCCTCTATTATAGTCTAGGAATTATTCCCTTCTTTCCCAAACTTATCTTCGCACATGGGATTGGCACTGAGTTTAAGAATAATAGTTGACACTTGACAGAGAGAAAATAGTAGGGAAAGTGTTGAAAAAGACAATATAATTGATGGGGAAGTAAGCATCAAATGAAAATGTGGAGAATTATTTGGGACACCCCGTCATACAATCAAAGATTTCTTTTACCAGTTTGACCAGAGCTGGACTCTTATCAAATATTTTGTCCTATATTCATCACGATTATTAAAAAAAAAGGGAAACTAGAAATTTCCTCCAAGTAGAAAATCCATTGTTTATGTGAGTGGTTGAGGGTCTCCATTGTAATTGGTTTGATTAGTATGTACCAGTCAGGTAATTTACATACTATTACTTTCTAGTTATAGATAAATCCTATATTGCATTCTCAATCACAATACCAACTCTCATCACTAGACATCATGTATCCAAAACCTTCAACGGGATAATACTTGTTTAGTTAAGAGCAGATCCAATACACAGAAAGGGGGAGAAGGGGGGGTCTTTTATTGCATAGAATGGAAATGTAAAAATACTAGCTTCCATCTTCCTTGGAAAAAGCTTTCTGGATTGAGTGAATTATTTTTAATTATAAGAAATAGGTGAATGTATTAATTTCTACAAATCATCAAAAAATTAAAATTAGCGCAGCTTAGGGCCTCAGGAGGGTAGACAAATGTCTTCAAAAAGAAAAAAGAGTGGATAGAAACTTTTCTTTATCCGGGATAAGGAAAGCAATAAGCATTAAAATCTTGGATAATTAGTTGATGACTATAATCAACAAAGAAACATACCTCGGCACCAAGACTGAATTTGGATAGCTGCATTTCTAAATGAAATGAATTCTTTGCGAGCAATATATGTACGTCCATGTCTTTGAATCTTCCTTGCCGCATTCCCTAGAACCTCTGCTCTCCTAGTATCCAACTCTGCCATCTGACCTGCTCGTAGAAAAACCTTTGTCTTTCCTATCTGTCATGTCATAAAAATATAACGTGAAAACCTTTCTAAGATGGAGATATATAGAAAAATAAATGACAAAAGCATCCAATCTACTGCAAATCAGCAGCATCATAATGACATTTTCAACATGTAAGATAATTCATCAATTACCTGGTAGCCTTTCAATCCCATTTTATCTAATATCTTCTGGCAAACAACCTTGTCATCACATCTGCAAATGATTAAGAGGATAAATGTTTGCAGTAGATAAAAAGGCACTATAGTTGAGGACACATGCTCACACAGTCACACTACACGAGGCCAATAGAAATGTTGCTGATTAAGAATAGAGAGAGAAGAAAACATGCTGACATCAGCACTACCCAGGGATTTGGAGAAACTTACTTCCCATCCAAAACTTCTGGAGCAAGAACACCAAATCGAAGAAGAAAATCTTCAAACGTTCGTCTAGTCGGATATCCAGCGCAGCTAATTCTGATTGCCTCAAGAACACCCTAAGCAAGATGACAGGGAAAAAAAAAAAAAGAAAAACTGAAGTCAAGACCTAGATTCATCACAGTTAAAGATCAAAACTAGTAAATTTACAGTAAAAACTCATTAAAAAAAACTATGTTTGTAGCTGTCTAGTAACTACAACTTAACAAACCAGTACATGAAATGAAGCAATTAAGTGCTATGCCAGTATACTTACACCACAACGGAGTTGGTTAAGGATGTTAACATTCTCAAATATAGCAGGCTTCAGGAGATTATTTGGCTTAACACATCTGATATAGTGAGGCTCTGTTGAATTTAGTGTCTCCATCAATTGCTGCAATTGTAGCTGCAAAAGTATCACACATCACTTTTGGTCAGAACAAAAGACTCCCATGGAAACTCAGTACAGTAGATTGATAAGTTCAGAAAATACAGCAACAAATATGTTTGTGTATGCAGGCTGTTCTAACTATAAACCAATGAAGTTTTGCATCCATGCACCTGACTTTAAGCTCATGAGAGAGTACGGATTTCAAAATTCAAGAATGTATTTGTTTCTTAAGGACACAGTTCACAAATTAGTGATGAAATCTAAACAGTAAATGAAGTAGCAAATAGCATTCTAGGTATTAGTAACAAATGCCCTCCTCTATTATCAGCAAAAGCAGAAAGGGTAAATTCCCTTAACTGTCAATCTATTCCCCGCGTAGAAAGTTTGATTAAGTATTCACATTATGTAATAGCAATAAATATATTGAGGAAAGATAGAGGACTTAATTGTCTTATTGAACAAGTAGGTGCATAAGTTATTGTTTCCATATTTACTTCTCATCACAACTGACAAAAGTTAGCATTTTAAATGTTAAAAACCATTTCTTGCTAAAGATGAAAAATATAGAGTACCTTAAAGCGAGATCCAATTGATGAAAATTTAGATGACTTCGATGATTCCTCTGGAAGTGGAGGGAACAGAGCAGCTACAAAAGAACACTTTGAGGCTTGAAGAAGATCTTGATGCTCTGCTATAACATAATCCTTATTTTTGTCAAGAAACTGGTCAGCTTGATAGATCACCTGAATCAAATAACAGAGAATATAGATGAGAACTGTAGCAAAAAGTGTGGTTTGGTTAAAGGGTCATTTGGAAACATCTGCTTACATCCCCTGCATAGTGACAGATGGTAAAGCTGGTACGAGAAAGCTTCGGTTTCTGAAAGCGTTTGTGTTTAGCATATGTCTGGTACAACTTCTGAGCAAACGTTTCATGCGTAGATTTGGGAAACATACTGAAATTTGAAATAAAAAGGAACATTTAGCAGAGATATTTGTATGCTATGTATATGATTACAGACTACAGAGTTCAAGACACTGTGATCCGTAAAAGAAGCATACAACAGTAACAAAATTTAGCGTAGCAAAAAAAAGCAGCATACCATGCTTCATCAAGAAGTGCAATGACTCCTCCAGGTTTCTGCAGAACATTAAAAAACCATATTATTATCTTCGTAGTCATACATTTGAAACTAAGCAGTAATAGCATAAGCAAGAAAACCCTATGAATAGTAAACAACTATACTGCGATATAAACCATCAAAAGCAGTACGAAACCTTCTCAATCATATCCAAAACATCCTGATTATCCACAAATTCGATGTAGCTCCAATTTATTTCTTCTTTTGTATATTCCTCCTGCTCCATCTTAAAGACATGCTGCAGGGGGGGAAAAAACAATATATACTTTAAGTGGGTAAAAATTCATAACATGAGCAGTTCAATGACTGATTCCAGTGGAGATAAGCCCACCTGATTAAAATGTTGTTGCAGCTTTTCATTAGTAAAGTTGATACAAAACTGCTCAAAACTAGATCACACAAATTCGTAAGCAGGTGAAGAATTTGTAATTATTAGGTGCCAGAGAGAAAGGCCAGATGGTGCCCTTACCTGTTCAATTTGAAACTTTCAAAACCATATATATCAAGAACCCCAATAATCAATTTAGAGTTTGGATCCTGCCCAATTGAATTGTTGATCTTATCCACAAGCCTGCAAAGACAGAAAACTTTAAAGGATGCCTAAGCAAATAACGGAAACTATCAACCATGTTATGCAAGTAAAACAAGAAATTATGAGATCATATTGAACCTAACATCATGGAGTATAGTATATAAACAATATGATAAGCCATTTAAGCACCATTCTCATGTTGCAGCATTTTTATTTTATTTTTTCTGGGGTGGGGGGGTATTTGGGAAAGAAAACATAAATCTCAGAAGAAAAAAATGAGCTTTCTGATTGCCCACATCTAGAGATTGAAAGGACATGTCAATATAAGCTGTACACGAGGTTTTACCTAAGGTTCATTTCAAGAGCAAGTAAGTGTGGTCATAATGGGCTGTACACTAATGATAATCTATTAATACGTAAATTCAGCAGCCAGGAAACTGTGCATATCCTCTGATGTGTGCTTGTTGCCTTGTTGTGCTTACAAACTTAGACTCTTAGAGTGATGTGAGAACAGTAGCCACATGGCCCATCTCCTTCATCGTAAGGTGGCTGCGCCTGTATGGGTTGGTTTTGGGAACATGGGTGTCCAGTGGGTTTCGCCCTCTAATTTGGCACATTAGCAGGTTACTGGTGTAAGTTTTAAAACAATAAGGAGCGGAGATGTCTTTGGAGAGCAGCATGCATAGCTATCTTTTGGTCTTATGGCCAAAGATAAGTGTAGAATTTTCAATAGTAGATGTAAAAGGTACAAGTCCTTTAGCATAGACTGATTTACCCTTGGTTCTATAACCTTCTCTGTTGGGGATTTTTCAGGTCTTTCGGATGAAGATTTATAATACTGGTAACAGCCTTTTGTTTTTCCTACCATCCCAGCATTCACAAATGAGATTAGATCAATGCTTTTCCATTCATTAAATGACCATTCTATTGTTTTGCAAATATAGTTCCACAACATGTATTTTAATATCATAGCACGACCTGCATTGACTGTTCAGAAACCCTTTAAAATAAAATAATGAATGGGAGATTGTCCAATTTATGGCGCAATGACCACGTTGAATGATGCAACACATTTTTATATTATGATCTCAACCATAGTTCATCTAAACCCCTCCACCCCACCCCCCCCTCTTTTCCACCCCCATAAAAAGAAAAGAGAAAACAAACAATATGTATGACTTAGGTTCATGCATATGCATTTCCTAGTTAGCAAATATACAGATTCAGAAAACTGTGAAGTTTTTTTTTAAGAAGAGTGTGTTACCAGTCAAACAAACGCGAGTATATAGTTTTAGCAAATGCGTCTCTACTAATTGCTGCAGAATCAGGATCAAGAGTTCTTGTGATTACTTCTTCTGGGGTCACCATTACACGTTTAATAACTGCATCTTCCAGGCTCTTGACATCACATCTGCAATCACACATTGTTAACAAAATATTGACACCCCACCAGCTAATAAGAGCACAGAACAGGTATAACAGCCATACCTAAGTAGTTCAGCAGTCATTTCTAAATGAAATCTTGATTTTTCGTCCTTGAGAACAGAGGAGTCTACCTCTGCTCCTTTAGAGAAGTTTACGTTACCAAGATGGAGAATAGCAGCAACGACTCTAAAAATTGCTTCCTAAAAGAAGCTTTGATGTTCAGACAAATAATGTCACAAGTCTCATTTCAATTTACATTCTAAATGATACTGACCTGGTCTTCTGCGCTTATTCCAACCACATCCATAGCTCTTCGGGTCGCCAGATATTCCTCAGTATCATCAACTCCATCCAATTTATAACAATTGGTTTGATTCAAGTAATGGAATTTATCAGGGCTATCCAACTTGTACTTATCTCGAACCTGGAAAAGATCTAGGAAAACTTAGAGAATCTTCGATTCTGAATGTACTATGCCATGACCTCCAGAAAACGATGGACCAAATAACTGGTTAGCAATAAGAAGTACCATACCTCTTGAGGTGCTGCACAAAGAAGATAAAAGCAGTGATAATTTCTCTCAGGATCCGAAACTTGGCAGACACGGGATCTTTCTAGCAGGTACGTTCGAATAGCAGCACCAGATATCTTCCCATGCTTGTCAAATTGTATTTCCACAAATTTCCCAAAACGACTACATTGATTGACAAAAAGAAAATAACTCATATGTTCACTTTCTTAGAATAGCTAAACAAAATAACAAATTCTAAAAGCTTGAGATGAGCAGTGTTAATGACACAATTGGTAAAAATTTAATATAATATATAAGGGGGATGAAATTTAGAGAGTTAATGTTACTGACCTTGAATTGTTGTTTCTAAGAGTTTTGGCATTGCCAAAAGCTTCCAGAACAGGATTGGACTGTCAAATGATCAAACCAAGGAAAAATTCTCAGGAGGCAAGTTTTCACTTTTTTTTTTTTTTTTTTTTTAATGTTCAAACAGCTATAAATGAGTAAATAAAACAGAAATTCAAACAAACTAATGGCCAGTAAAAGTGTTTGGTTGACATTAAGTATTCAGTCTTGCTCAACAAGCCAAATAACCTGAACATATTAATCGATAACCTTGATGAGGAAAACATAGAGACAAGAAATTCTTACTTCTAGAACTTGTTGTTCAACTGTACGCCCTTCCACACCAGATCGCCCCCCCAAGTAGGCAAGATATCTCATAAGCATCTTTGTAGTTTCAGTCTTACCAGCACCACTCTCTCCACTAACCAGAATTGAATTGCTCTTGCCTTCATTAATCATTGCCCTTTTTCACCAAGTGATATGTCTATCAATAATAGGTTCAACAGTTAAAATAAAGATGACAAAAGACATTGATAATGGGTGCCACCTGTACGATGCATCAGCAATCGCAAAAACGTGAGGACTGAGCTCCCCAAATCCTGCTCCCTTATATTGCTCCATCATGTGTGTATCATACAGATGAGGTAATCTTTGGAATGGATTTACTGCAATGAGAATATTTCCTGTATACGTCTACGGAAAGGAAATGCACATCAGCTGCATCATCAACTTGTGGACTAAGCATCTACTTTAGAGATGGGAAACAGAGGAAAGCTGGAAGGGGGAAGAGAACTAGTATATGTAATCAAGATGAAATCCAGCTAAAACTCTTACATAAATTTCATTGATGGAGTATCTCATGGCCAAGTTAGACAGTACTCCTGGTTCATGCAAGTATGCAAGCTTTGTCATGTCATCAACACCACCAGCAGGAGCTTCCTCGTCCTTGGGGTAGATCTTCGAGACCTCTGTGACAATCTAAAGATAAAAACTCTAGTCAGAATCCAAAATAATAGAAGAACTTACTACTGCCAAACGATAGAAATCATATGCATAATGAAAAGAAGCACAATTAAACAAGTAACAAGCAAGGATATAGATACATGAAGTGCCTAGGCTAAAATGAATGTCAATTCCTTTCTTGCAGCTAAAGTTCCATACGTTACCATTATTGAGCTAAAAAGTGCCATAGTAGATTTTTATTTATTAACAACAACCACCAGCTGCTAAGGTTAGTTTCAACAGATTCTCACAGAGTAAATATTTGAAAGCCTAAAAATAACCTATGTTGAACAGGATATGACACCAACACATTCTAATGAAATAAAGAAAGAAAAAATTGATTTCCAACAACCAGTCGACTAAATAACACACAGAGTTTGTTATACTCACTGATTTTCCATTTGTAGTTTTGACGTGAAGTTCTTGACCATTGGTTTTTGTGACCTCTCCATCTATCCAAGCTAATTCTGGATCTTCAACCCAAACTTTAGAACCTACTATAACAGTTTCTGAGGTCACCTGTTAAGAGGAGGAAAAACACAGCAAGACATGTAAGATTGAGTTCATATATACGATGCATAACAAAACAATATCCTGCAATATATAAAAAATTGTGAAATCCATGCCATAAACTTTGAAAGTTGAACTGCCTATACTGTATTGAGATCCATACTCCAAGAGAGCCCACAAACTAAAGAAATTGCAAGCAAAGCGAGACATGAATGCACATAGCAGAGCGCACTTAAAAAACGCTTGTGATAAACATTCCCTGACTACACTAACCCCCATGTACACAATACAATCGGAATACAAATGCAAAGCACAATAACTCTCCCTTGGAATACAAATACAGTCACTTATATTTCTCATTAAGAGCATGTTTGGTATAGTGTTTTTCAGAGGTGGAATTGGAATCAACTAACCGAATCCATTACCAATTGTTTGGTATGAGACGTAGGGTAATACACTTTATTTCCTAATGATAATCATTACCGCCATTTGTTACCCCTCTCAACCGTATGGTAACAATCTGATATAAGAGACTCCTTTGCTTTAGTATACCAAACAACTAATAATGATAATGCTAAACCTTCTTCTCTCCTTGTCATTTGTTTCCATTCCCTTTCAGTTCCTTGATTCATATCAAACATGCACTAAAAAGTCACATTTTTAGGTCCAAAAAGCACCAAGTTTTCCTTTGTTGACTGATAGTGATAGCAGCATCATGGTTAAAAACTTGACATCTAATAAGCAATCTCTCTAAAGCCCCCTTCACTAATCAGGATTCCAACAAGATCACTATGAATAGAAGAAAAATAAAAGTAAGCCCTGCAATAAGCAGTTACTTGCGTTGCACTCGTAAAATAACTAGCTAATTCAATAGCCAGCTCCAAAACCAATGAAGATTTTCGTCAACATTTCAAACTCCATTAGCTCCACTACATAGAGCAAATCTTCAGTACCACTTTCTACCAAGAACCTCCTCCCATTAGCCAATTGAACCATAATCTATTTTGCCTAGAATCATAAATTTCTTCCGTCATCAAACAGATGCCCCTACTTTAGCCCCTACCACAATCCAACCATCCATTACCACGTCAATTATACCTTTAAATCGCGAATATCCATATACATTGATCTAACACATCCAACCACATCAAAAATAAACAGAATTTCCCTCCATAAACTCCTCATCTCTGCATTCTACCCATATTATCATACAATAATCCTTCAATAATCCTTCAATTTCCGGTTTCGAGTACTCCAACCTCAATTCCCTAATAAATCCACTGCTGCAATCCCCCAAATTTCACAAGTTCTCAAAATTATAAATAAGCATCAATTAACATACAAAATTAGTAATATTGTGTGATAGTTAACTTATGCAGCTTGATCTAACCAAATCACCATATATAATCAAAGTCAAAATTCATCAACCTTTACCAAAATTGATTCAACAAAAAATTGTCATCCTTCCTAATAAAATTCACACAAAAATCCGTTGACATAATTATTAAAACAGCTCATAACAAATAATAAAAATCATTAGCTCGCTCTGCCTCAACCTCAATTTCAAATTAACCATCAGATCATCGAAATTCATCAAACTCCATGAAATCATTTACAAAAAACACAAATAATTACAATTAAGCATGAATTAACTTACCATTTCTTTTAATTCTTTTTTGATTAATTACAAAAAAGTAATGGCGACCTTCGAGCTTGAAAATCACAATCAAAATGCAGATCGCAAAATTGATCGATTCAAACTCCTTGAGTGATGATAATAATAATGAACAACAACAAAAAAAAAATTAAGGAGAGAGAAATTATGAAATGAAATTGAAGGTCTTAATCTTTGAATTTGGAAATGAAAATGAAAGAATTTTAACACTTTAAGCAAAAATAATTTAAATTAAAATAAAATTTAAGAGAGAGAAAAAGGAGGTAAAATTAGTAAAATGGAAAAGCGAAGAACTTTAAGCTGGAATGTGGGGGACGAAGACGAAGAACAAAAGATTGATTTTTTTTTTTTTTTTAATTTAATTTAATTTTTTTTATATTTTTGAATAATTCTGGACAAACAAATAAAAAATAAAAATAAATAAAAATTACAGGTGTAAAATAATTAACGTATATTTCTCTCTCCTAGGAAAAGTTAGTTTGAGAGTGGTCAGCTGGGGTCCTATGAAAGAACAGGGGTATTCGTGGTCACCCACATTCTATTTTATTTTTTTTAATATTTTATTATTAATTATTTTATTTTTAATTAATTTTATTTTCCTGGATTTGCTCAATTTTTATTATTTATTTAATTGAGTATTAGCTGTGTCGTTAATCATGGTTTAAAGGGATTTAAGATTAAAGATTGTTTCATCTTTTTAATGCACGCAGTTGACAGCATGGTTTTAATCATGAATCAATAGTTGGATGGGTTCTTGGGTAGTGTAATGTTGTAAGGGAATGTTTTTAATCTCTTTTTATGGATTTAGGAATGTTAGTTTCGATACATTGAGATTTTCCCTACTCTTGGATGGAATGGATAATGATTAGTGATAGTTGGGTTGTTTGATTCGGGCTCAGACCATTTGATGTGATTTTATTCGAGAGGGTAGTTAGGAAAATGGTTAGGTCAGGTATATTCGAATTAGATTCAAATATCATATTTACTAGATAAATCAATTACAAATTTTATTTTGAGGTTAAGTCAATTTTCGTTCGGACTAATTTTGGATCAGGTTTGAGTGGAGGAATCTAGTTTTTTTTTTTTTTTTTTTTTTTTTTTTTTTTTGTCAAAGTTGTAGTTAAATTGAGTTATTGTCAATCATTCCAAAGTACCAACAACACTTTGGTACGAAAGTGTGTATCAATTCACAAAGATTATAATTCGTTTCTATCTATTTTAAACTTATTAAATGGATAACGTGCACCTTTTCATACCATTTAGGCTTCTAAAACAGATAAATCCTTAATTACATACCTTTTCGCAATTTTAAGAGTTTGAAACCATTTAGCTTTTGCATTATACATGTAATAACTTTGCTAATCATATAATAGTAACATTATAAAAAATATATATATACATGTATATAGTAACCTAATTATAAGTCAAGAAAATTTAAACAAAGCTGGATCTAAATTTACTGATCATCATGATTATAGTTCAACTTTATCATAAATAAATGTTAAAATGTGATATGAATATGTTTATATCTAACCCTGTATGGATTTTGAAAACAGTATAAGATTTTTGTTTCTATATTGGAAGTATTACATTATCTACTTAGATGATTTATAATCTGATTTGTATAATTCTCATTATCAATAAAACTTCATGAGTTTTCACTCCTCATCCTCACATATCCTTTTTCTTGGCCTCTCGACTGTCACGTATTTAGTGAACAACATAATTAATGTGTTATAGCTTATTATTACTTGATTTTGGCTATTAGTTTGTGATGATTTTTTAGAGTGTCAATGGTGTAATATTTGTATTTGGGATACATCCTCCGTTTCCATTTAAATGCCCTTTTTGGAATCTTTGGACATTCCAATGCCTATGAAATAATCTATGGAATCTAAAACTTTTAAGAATTTATATATATGATTTCAAATATATATGGTAATGCGGAATTTTATTAACGACTAAATTTTTAATTTCAAATATAGTATAAAATTACAACTTGTATTGAAAACTGTGAAAAAAATAAATAAGACAAAAAAAAGGAGAATATCCCATTTTAATTTGAAAAATTAAGAATTAGTTCTTTAAATTTATAAAACTTATGCCAAATTTTTACTATAATTTATTATCAGATCATGACGTGTTATATATGCTGAAAACATACAAAAGTACTAAAAACACCCCTTATGAATGGTGATATTATGTACGAATTTACAAGGGTTTTTCTAAGCTATGCCTTCGAGGTTGTTGAGTTTCTAAGGTGTGCCCATACCTTTTCAATATTACAAGTTGTGCCCTCCAACTTAAGTTGTTTAATCAACCGTACCCTCTAACGTAAACTCGACGTTAACAATTGTATATAAATAGGAAGTAACAAGATGCGGATGAGAAAAAAGAATAATATATACACCGAGAGGTTGACATATCAATAGTTGCTTTTAGAAGAAAGAAGAAAAAATAGATGAGAAAATTTGGAAAAAATGCTAAATGTTAACCTACTTATATAACTCTAACCCAATTTGGGCGTGCAATTTCTCTCCAAAGTGTGGTAATAAACCGTGAACACAACTACTAACGTTGGATTAACGTTATAGGGTACGGTTGAATAAACACCTTAAGTTGGAGGGTACATCTTGTAATTTTGAAAAAGTACGGGCACACTTTAGAAACTCAGTAACCACAGGGGCATAGCTTAGAAAATACAATCTCGCTACCTATATCTGGCTTAGGCCTTTTTCAATTCTATTTTTTTTATTTTTTTAACAATGATTCTATATAAAACAAATAATTGAACCCTTTACTTTACGGAGTATAAAGTTTTAATCTACTAATTACTACTGTAGCATATGTACGGCTATACCATAAAACTGGTGTACCTTGTGAGTTGCGAGGTATAATACAAATGAACAAATTAATTTTGCCAATTTCCACAAATGAGGTAATTGGTTCTATGAATATGCACACAAATGAGAAACTTAATTTAGTTCTTATTACCCATTATTTGACAAATTTGCTCATTTTGTACAAATAGTATCTTGTTAAGAACAATTATATAGTAAAAAAATTGAAAAAAAAAAATTATTTTAACCAAGAAAACCCAATTTCCATCGTAACTAAAGTTCTATGGAGTAATATATAAAAGGGTAATGCTATATGCAGCCCTTAAAACTGCATATGAGTATTTAATATACTTTCTTTTTTAGTATTAACTTGGAAATTTATCGATAATTCATGAGTAAATCGGTGTAATAAATGTTTATTTATTGTCAATTCTTTCCACTTTTAAGGGTTGCATATATCTTTTTCCTATATAAAATATCAATTTAAACGTTTTTAAAAAACTACATATTCCATTTTTTCATAATTTATGTTACGCCTCTCAAATTCTCAACGTGCCATCTTCCTTCTTCAAGTTGTTTTGGGCTATGTATTATTATTATTATTATTATTATTATTATTATTATTATTATTATTATTATTATTATTATTATTATTATTATTGAAATAAACAAAACAAAAGGGATAATAACAAAAACCTACAAAGTTAATCCATTTACAAGAAATTAGTGGGGAGCCGAAATACAATCTGGGCCCCCACCCCTCTAGCTATAGCGAACCCAATCCTGTTGAAGATGTGAGCAGTTGCATGAGTACCAATTTCCTGAGTCCTAACGAACGCCTGAACCCGCTTCAGCAACGCAACATCATCCTTCTCTAATTCCCCCAATGAAGAAAAGGAGAAAAGAAGAAAACCATAGCAAATAGCCCTGGAACGCGCCCCATACTTTTCTCGCTTCCGCTGAGCCACAGCCGACATAACACGACCAAGAACGAAGTCAGACAACCCAAATTGTGTCAAAGGAGAAGACCGCGTCAAGTCAACACATACATCAAGGCCTCCATTCCAAGAATAAAGTAACACTTCTGCTGATCGAAGAGTCCTGTCGTTCCCTCCAGTCAATCCAACATTAACCTCCTTTCTTGCAGAAATCCCAGAGCGAAAACAAATATCAACAAGAGTATCACGAACAACGTTATACCGATGTTTAATACCCATCATCTCAGCACAAGACAATACATGATCTCCATAAATTTCCCCATCAAAATAATGATGACATCCAAACTTAGGTAGGGTCCAAATTTGGGCACCGTCCTAATTTTGCCAAAATCAACAACTTCAATTTTTAGAAAGCAACCAGCCAAACATACACCAAATATACGTTGTACATTACGTATTTACGTTTCGTACTATACAATACAATACATTCAATTGTCATTTTATTTATTTAATTAATTTATGTGAAAATCAACAAAAATAACCGACTTGTGAGATTGTGTGCGGCAAAATCAAAACCCGACAAAACGTGTTTGTTTTATAGCGGCTTAACTTGATCCAACTACCAACGGAATTTTTTATCTCTTACGTGGCACCTCCTTATTGATTCTATCTATGGTCAAATATTCTCGTTACTCTTTTATTTCACCGCCTTTCTTTCACATCATGTCAGAAAAATACAAATTCCTTTTCCACTTTGTTTTCATAATTATTTTATACAGTACGATTAATACTTCTTCCATCTTAATAAATCTTATACAAGCCATAAGTTTACTTTACCCTATGAAGGAAAAACTTGATATAATTGGTAGAAGTTTCATCTTAATATTATCATATATTCGATTTCTACTACTAGTCGTTTTTAATTGTTGGGTAGTCATTATATTTCAAAGTCATGTTTATCTGTTTTTAATTGTGGGATTCCCTTGTTCTTCCCCCATTCCCCAATAGTCTAACATTGAGTAAAGTTGTTTTTCCTTACATTTTACATTCATAAAAAGTCAATTTATTGCATGTATTGAGAAACAAAACAAGTATAAAATTCATCATAATTCTATTTTGTCCAGATTTCAAATGAAAAGAATTTTTAAGAAGAGTATTTACCTAGTAAAACAAAAAATAGAAAAATTTATCAAAAAAAGTGATATTGTACGGAGTAATAAATTGGGGACAATTAATAAAATAAATTGCGGCAATTAATTGAGATGGAAGGAATAATAATTTTATACATTGACTAAGGAATTTTTTGAACTAATCCATTTATTCATTCGTTGGATCCAATAATAAATTAAACAAAAAGTGTATGGTCGCCTTCCACAATCTCCCCTGCTTTCTTGTGATTGTTTGATTGCGGAAATTGAAGATTTCTTGTCAAGTCCTCTTTATTTTCTTAATCTGATTTTCTTCTTAAATTTTTTATTTTCACATATATTTAAGGTTAACTAGATTTTTTTATAGTCTTGAGCATGATGTTGATTGCGCCTGTGCACCCGTTTGCTCCTTACACCTAAGCTATACAGGCTAATACTTATTAGCTAGTCAAGGCTGAAATTTATTGTTTTAGTTACTACTGTTTTTGTCA